AGTTCGCGCACAGTAACGAGGCTTGGTACTATCCTTGACTCTGTCTATAAGTCGCTGAACACTAGCATCGAAGCTCAGTCCTGGTATGAGAGCTTGAATTCCACTATGAAGCCCACAGAGTCTATGGGTGAGTACATCGCCCGCTTTAACGTCGGCACCTCGGCCCTTCGTTGGCCCGACACCCTCAAGATCCAGTTCATGCGCAACCGGCTGCCTGTATGGTGGCGCGACATGACCGCCATGAAAGTCTTAGAGTCTAGCCTCACCTACCTTGACTTCTGTCAAACCCTTCGTCTCCTCGAACAGTCCAACCCACAACGAGCCACTACAACTGGCAACCGTAGAGGAAATCAGAGTTTAGAAGGTGGCGGGGGCGGCGGAGCAGGCGGCAATAAGTCCACTCCCTCTAACGGACCCCGGAACGGTGGATCCAGCTCGGGATCTGGCCCCCGTGGCCGCTCTGACATCCAGGTCAAGGTCCTCCGTCACTTAAATCGTTGTTTCAACTGTCTTAAGAAGAATCACACCTTTAAGGCTACAGGAGGTTACTGCTCTAAGGAGCCGGTCGCCTCTTTTGACTCGTACCCCGAAGTTCAGGACGCTCTTGAGAAGGCTATTGCTAACAATGGCGTACCCGTCGGAGAGCCAGCCCGCCCTAAGGTCAAGGGCGCCGCAGCTAGCGTCACCTCCACCTCTCCCCAACCTTCGGAAAATGCTTAGTCCCTGGCGACAGTCGCCCCCAGGGACCTCCCCGGCATGAGAAGCCACCCCCAGTACAACCACCAGCACATCCCCTAATTCCCCCTGCCCCTTCTGTCGAAGACAGCGAAGAAGAAGAGGAGTTACATCCTAACCGCTTTGTCGACGATTCTTTGACCCTAGCCCTTTCCCCTACCGTAGAAGTCAGCTCTGACGATGAGTCCGACCCGGATCCAACCACAGTCCGCAACAATCAATTAAGTGGGTCCTAGAAGGTTCAGATTGGATTGATTGATTACCGCTTTAAGCCTAGTAGTTACCTATAGGAGTTTAAGCCCTACCTAGATAGGTAAGTGGGTCTAGGAGAGTGACCGGATTGAATTGATTGTTGCGGAGTCTGGTTAAGGGGGCGCAGAAGGTGAGCGGGCTCCAGTCCAGATCGCGGTTGGCGTCCCTTTGTGGCGAGGAACGGAGATAACCCGGTAGCTGTGCTAATGGCCGAATTGGCTTCAAATTCTGCTAAAGGCAATAGCTGGGCCCAATCCGTCTGTAGGTAGTTAACGTACGCCCTTAGGTATTGTTTGAGATCGGCGTTTGCATTCTCGGTCTGACCGTCGGTTTCTGGGTGATGGGAGGTAGAGAGTTTAGGGTGCGTTCCCACCTGGGCACACAGGCGATTCCAGAAATGTGACGTGAATTGGCGGCCCCGATCTGATACAAGAGTCCTTGGGTATCCTTCCTCTTTCCAGATGTATTCCATAAACTTGTCAACGACTGTAGGCACCTCTAGGTTTTCCATTGCAATGAACTTCTTCATTTTTGATAGACGGTCAACCACGACCATGATGTGTTGGTAAGAGTGACCACACCAGGTTGACTTAGGCAGTGGGGTGATGAAGTCGATGGATATGTCATCCCAGTACTGAGTAGGGACAGGCAGCGGGTGAAGCAAACTATGTTTGGCGGTGCGGTTAACCTTAGAGCGTTTACAGGTTAGACAGTTGTTGGTAAAGCGCGCAATTGTGTTCGTCATGCCCTGCCAGTAGTACCACTGGCTTACTTGTTGGTACGTCGTCGTGCGACCTCCGTGGCCGCCCGGTAGGCTATTGTGGATGTGTGCGATAATCCTCGTACGGAGTTTCTCACTGAAGGGGACGACAAGACGCCCGTTGCCAATAAATAGCTTGCCGTCGTTGCTGGCTTCTAGGTCGGCTAGTTCCATCCGAATGCCTTCCGCTATGAGGTAATGTGGGATACGGCGGTCATTAGAAGCGAGGGCTGTCTTTACATCGCGTAGGCGTGGGTCGCTAAGGCAGAGTTCTAAGAGGACATCGTCGAGGGGGCGATCGTCGGCTCCTTCGATGTCGTCATATGGGTCATGGGTGCCCTTTAGGGAGAAGCGGGCTAACCCTACCAACATTGTAGAGGTGGACAGTGAAGCGCCTTCGCCGCTCTCTTGCATCAGTGTAAGGACGGAGCCTAGGTCGCAAGGATTGTCGCCCAGGCATACTCCGGCGAGGCGTACAGCGGCATAGCTGCCGCCCCATCGGTTGGAACCTAGGATAGTCTGGCATTGGTGCTGGACCCGGTCGTCCGTGACTGAGTCTGGCAAGTCTCCTGTCCGGCGGGTAAGGCTGTCGGGTTTAGTACCCTGTTTACCAGGGCGGTATTGTATGCGAAAGTCGAATTCCTCTAGGAACTCAGCCCAGCGGGCTTGTCGACGATTGAGATTGCGTTTAGAGCGGAAGTATTCGAGCCCGCGATGGTCTGTTAGCACTTCTACCGCCTCAGGAACTCCTGCGAGTTCTGGCCTCCATTCCTCGAAGGCGCGGACTATAGCGAGGAGCTCCTTGTCGTATATCTCGTAATTACACTCTGTGGGCGACATCTTCTTTGAGAGATAGGCGACCGGCCGGACTGATCCGTCTGGCTGGACCTGGGAGAGCACTGCTGCGTACACATAGTCAGACGCGTCAGTTTCTACGATAGTCTTTAGGTCGGGGTCAAAGTGGGCGAGCACCACGTCGCTACAGAAGGCGACTTTCAGTGCGAGGAAGGAGCGCTCAGCTTCTTTAGTCATCTTGAATAGCTTAGGGTCGCCCTTAGTGAGATGCGTTAAAGGTTTTGCGATATCCGAGAAACCGCGTATAAATCGGCGGTAGAAGTTAGCAAAACCTAAAAAGGCTTGTACATCTTTTAGAGATTGCGGAAGCTTCCAGTCCTGAATGGCGCTGACTTTGTCTGGGTCCATTTTAATACCGTCGGCGGTGATGATAAGCCCGAGGAATTTAACCTCTGTCGTTATGAAGTCGGATTTAAGAATGTCCATAGGCAATCCGGCGTCTGCGAGCCGAGAGACTACCTGTACTAGGTGCTTCTCGTGTTGATCAAGAGTCTCACTAAAGATAATTACATCGTCTAAGTAAGCCATGCAGAACTCATCGAGATATTCGTGTAGGACGTCGTTAATGTATGCTTGGAAGGTTCCTGGGCTATTGCACATGCCGAAGGGCATAACAGTGTATTGGTACAGTCCGTAGGGCGTGATGAAGGCGGAGAGGTGTTTATGTTCTTCTTTGATGCGTATCTTATTGAATGCGGCGATCACATTTACCTTGGAGAAGTATCGCGATTTTGAGAGCTTAGCAAGCATGTCCCGGATTAGTGGTGGGGCATTTCGGTTCTTGACAGTGTGGGCGTTCAGACCGCGATAGTCGACGCATATGCGGATGCCTCCACCTGGCTTGCGCACAACAAGAAGGGGTGCGGCCCAGGCGGAAGTGCTGCGTTCGACGTGTCCTTTCTTGATCATGTCGTCCACATAGAGTTTCACCGCTCGGGCTTCATCTCGGGACATTGGGCGTAGACGCTGGAATGACGGCTTAGGCGGCTGGCCAGTATCGTCGAGCTTAAGTTCGATTTTGTGGTCAAGGTTACCCCGGAGCTCTGGGAGCTCGTCCGCTTCTTTAGGGTCAAAACCTTGGTACAAGGGATGAAGGACCTTAGGTAATCGCTTGAGGATTTCTTGTCTCGTCATGTGCGGACGTTCCATCTTGTCGCGGAACTTCTCGTAATCCTCTGGGAGCACTTTGGCTCCTGCAGCACGTAGGTGCTGAGTGTCCTCCCATTCCTTGTCGGATAGCTCGGCGATGCGGCCGATTTCATCGTAAGAGGTGATACAAATGTCCCGGTCGTGACAGACGGCTGCCGCGGCTACGCGGCTAGAGATGAAAGCTACATCAATTGGTGGGGGTGCTTTGGGGTGACGAGCAACCTTCCGGCAAGGGTCAGGGACCTGGGGGAGAGGTTGCTTGTGGTGCCGGCTGCTCTGAGTGTGACAGGGTCGGTGGTCGTGGATACAGTTAATTAGACAGTGCTCCGAGTCAAAACTTAGAGACATGTCTTTCCAGTTAACTCGGGGTTCATGGGTTTGGAACCAGGGCGTTCCTAGCAGACTCCGCAACAATCAATCGGATCGGCATGATTGATTCCTATCTAGGTTAAAGGCTGCCTAATAAAGTAACTCTTTAACCTATATAGGAATCAATCATGTCGATCGATTGATTGTTGCGGAGTCTGGTTCCTAGGATCATTTGGACACCAGAGAGTTTGGTGACATAGGCTAGGACATCTTCGGTGTGGGTGCCAAATGTGACAGTTACCCGGGCCATATGGGTAACGCCTGCCACTAGAGAGCCATCAGCGAGTTCTAGAGTAGCAGGCTGGGAGAGAGAGATAAGGTCGTATTTATGTGCGCGGGCATGAGAAGAATCAATGAAGAGAGAAGCACAACCAGTGTCACCCATGATTTCGACGTGTTGAGGAGAGGAGCGATGAGAAGAAATGATTCCTTTAAAGACTAATTGCTGGCCTACTAGAGGCTGATACTTATCACCGCGTATAGCGGCGGCAGCAATGGCCGAGACGGTGATCCGGGATCCAGTCTGGCTCTGTTGTTTTAGAGCCTTGACACGGTTCGCAATTGCCTGGAGTGTTGGATCTAGACTCCGCAACAATCAATTCAATCCGGTCACTCTCCTAGACCCACTTACCTATCTAGGTAGGGCTTAAACTCCTATAGGTAACTACTAGGCTTAAAGCGGTAATCAATCAATCCAATCTGAACCTTCTAGGACCCACTTAATTGATTGTTGCGGACTGTGCCCTTAACAACCACCCTACTATCGCCCAACAGCAACGGAACGCTGATGCCCTCGCCCAGCGCATTGACACAACGCGCACCTTCCTGCGACAACAAATCCTATGGGCTCAAGACAAGATGAAAGAGTTCGCAGACGCGAACCGATACCCAGCACCACGGTTCGACGTGGGTGACTGGGTGATGCTGAACGCCCGCCACATTAAAACCGAAAGACCAGTTAAGTCACTAGACCACAAGAATATAGGGCCATACCAGATCACTCGGGTCATTGACAACATGGCCTACGAACTAGACCTCCCTCCTCAGCTTAAAGCTATCTTCCCAGCCTTCCACCCATGGCTCCTACAACCGTACGAGGACGACGCCTTACCCGGACAACCTCGTCCAGGCGATGCCGCTTCCCCCGAAGTCCACCTTGGCAACGATGGAGTCACAGAATACGTGGTCTCCCAAGTCCTAGACTCTCGCATACGACGCAATCTCGTCGACCCTCACACAGGTGAGCGTGGATTGCTGCAATACAAGGTGGAATGGGTGGGCGACGATCAGTCAGAGCCATGGCAGCCCTACCATAACCTGCGCAGCTGTAAAGAGTCAGTCCAGGACTTTCACAGCCGCAACCCTGGCCGACCAGGACCACACGCCACATTTCATGACTACGATGACGACGGACAGCTCGCTATAGCCCTGCTCCAGCTACTAGATAGCAAGTACTCAAATAAGTTTGCGCCTCAGTCGGAACTTTGAGCGCTTTTCGGGGGGGGACGTGTGATGGTTTTGGGCCGTTGCCCCGCACAGGCCACCTGCCAGATGCCTTAGCGTTGTTTTGATGTTCGCGCACGAGCCACCTGTTTGGTGGCCCATGCACACCCCCACTTAGATATATTCCGCGCAGAGCTTCTTACAAGCTCTGCACTGCAATTACTTTGTAATTCAACACAGTTTCAAATACCTGACCTATGTGAGACCCTTACAGAAAAGCCAAAAACCATATTAGCGAACCATACCAGAAAACCATGTAAATTAGAAAAACCAAGATAGAACTGCCTTCGGCCAAAGTCCTACATAGTCTCTGACTGAAAAAGGACTCTAATGGAATAATAATAATAA